GAAGTACGAATGTTCAACGTGTCAGTTCAACGTGTACAAAAATTCCGAGAAAGGTGCATACCTTTTATAAGTATTATTTCGAAAGCTAATCAGCTGCTCCACTTTACGCGTTATAGCTTTTTAACATTTTCTTAGTGGATCTTCAAGACGATCCTCTTGATTTTTCGACTAGTTTGTCAAAACTCGCACGACTGGTTGTCACAGTGCCAAATGTCAATATGACATGTATACAAATAAATGCAGTGTATAATTAAAAAATAATTTCTATTTTAATTATCTTTATCCGATAATGTATTTTGTAAACTGACGACAACATTCTGTGTTGTGAAACATATGTGACACCCCTATATTGCGAAATACTCTGTTGTCTCTTATCACTTTTCTTCTGCAGATTATGAATCACATAATTGTTTCTCATCACTTTCATTCTTGCCAATTAATTTTATATCTCAAAAGTAGTTAATATTCTATACCTAGATGTATTACACATTTTTCTTCCTTCTATTCATGGCTTTAGACTAGAAACTGACCGTTATACGTATGTGAAAGGCAGAGGAAAGAAAGATAATGAAATATTTTTTAAATGGAAAATTAACATGCACTTCTTATGATTCTAGGAAAAATGTAGCTTATGAAACAATACCTACTACAAGTTATCTTAAAGAAGTTCAACGGACCTTACCAACATGAACAAGACTTCGCAAAGTCAGTATATAATTAATATTATGTATACGTTAATGAATATTTATGAACGACGCTCTGACATATATGTGTACGTTACAGGAACTGGACAAACATTGAAGTACGTGAGCTTGGTTACTCTCACGCTTCAAAATGCCATGGTTGGCCTCAGCATGCGATATTCCCGTACCAGAGCAGGGGATATGTTCCTCTCTTCCACTGGTAAATATAAACTGTGTTAGAAATAATACAATCAGTATTACTAATATCGTCAGTATCTTAACACAGAAAATCTTTATTACATTCAATGTAATAAAGATAACAATATGACTTTTCTTTCCTAGCTGTTGTGATGGCTGAAGCAGTCAAGTTGCTTACCTGCCTTGTATTAGTATATATCGAAGAGGGAAGCTTTGAGAAATTTTACAAAGCGTTACACATGACAATCGTGAAGCAACCTATCGACACCTTGAAAGTTTGCGTGCCATCCCTTCTATACATTATTCAGAACAATTTACTTTATGTTTCTGCATCGAATTTGGATGCAGCCACACATCAGGTAAGACAGTCTTGCTAAATGTTTTGTCTCGTTCTGAAAAATGTAGAAGAATACCAATTAGCACAAATTAACAGATATTGATTAATGTACAACAACTTTATAACGACAGTATTTGAAATGAATGTTATATTCTTCAGGTGACCTATCAGTTGAAAATTTTGACGACGGCCTTCTTCGCAGTGACGATATTACGTAGATCTTTACACTCTACCCAGTGGGGTGCTCTCGTGCTCTTGGTCGTCGGAGTGGTCCTGGTACAATTGGCGCAAAGTGTGAAAGCGCCGTTACCCTCGGGCATCGAACAAAACCATTGGCTGGGTTTTTCCGCCGCTTTAAGCGCGTGTTTCCTGTCTGGCTTCGCGGGAATTTACTTCGAGAAGATACTCAAGGGCTCTGACATTTCCGTGTGGATGCGAAACGTGCAACTGAGCGTGTTGTCCATACCGTTCGGCCTAGGCACATGTTTTCTACACGACGGTCATCTCATGCGCAAGCAGGGCTTCTTCTTCGGCTACGACCTGTTCATTTGCTACCTGGTGGTCCTACAAGCGGGTGGTGGACTGATCGTAGCCATGGTAGTCAAATACGCTGACAACATACTGAAAGGATTCGCCACGTCCCTGGCTATCATAATTTCCTGCATAGCTTCCATTTATCTGTTCGACTTTCATCTGTCGTTCCAGTTTACTCTGGGCGCGCTCCTCGTCATCTGTTCGATTTTCCTCTACAGCCATCAGCCGAAACCCGCGGCCCTCGATAAGCATACGTCCGCTGAGAAAGTCTGATAGTAGGGGAAGTACGAGATTATTTTCAACGAAGTAATACTCGATTTCATAAGTTTTCCTCAAATTCTTATTGACTAATATATTGAATTGATACGGACTTTTAAATACTTATCAAAAGTAGAAGCAATTTAAGTGCATTAATGAAAAGAATTAATGCATTTAAATAGAAAGAAATTATATTTATAGAAATCTAGCAAATGCTATTTTTGAAAAAAATAATCGGTCATGAGTCTTCTGAAAAGGCACGAGAGAATCGTTACGTTGTACATACGAAAGAATCACGAGCGCAATCGTGTTCTTATATCCGACTCTGATTCTGAATTACCTTGTGATAATCTCGAAATCAAGAAGTTAAGAATAGCAAACGTGACATATAGAGATAAAACGAAATTACGCCCCGTAATAGTTTTACCTGTTCGTTATAGATAGAAACACGATGACACTATTCGAATTTATTTTTATATAGCTTCAAGACGCATTTCTGTACGTTTGATCAAAAATGTATTTATAGGCCAGTAAGTAACTATACTCGCACTATGTACTTAATTTAAATAGATTTTAATAAATACAGTTTTTATGAGAATTTCCTCGTATAAACCAGTATCTTTTTTTCCAGAAAACAAGCTTCTTCCAACTTTTAAAATATTTGCTAAGTAATCACGAGGTAAATAAATATAAAACTATAAATTAAATCAATAAAACGAATAAAACTATACTTCCAACTAACGTATGAAGATAAAATCTAAAAAATGTCTGGTGAAATTATGCCGTCAAGTTTCACGTCACATTCAAAATACTTTAACGCTATTTTTTTATGTTTTAATAATTATTTTATGATACTTTACGATCACATAACTAGATCAATTTTTTTTAATTGACTTATCAATCGAATTCAGTTACACTAATGGGACGCTTGTGGAGTTTGTCATTTATTTTCGCGTTCGTGCAAATCGGTTATAATCGAACAATTGCTGTTTTTTATTTTATCTCAAGTTCCGAGTTTAACAATCGTTTCGTATCGCGCGCGCACTCTTGACTTTCGCGCAAGTTTGCCGAGCGGTTGGCCGCGGCCTATCGTCGAGGTTCGGCCGCGGAATCGCGTATTTCATTCGACGAGACCCTTTCCCTCTCGAGCGTGCCGATTGAACGTGTCGGTGGCGCGAGTCTTTCGGAACCCGCTCCGGAAACTCTCTATCGAACGGCCAATCGCCGCGTACGACGGAGTCGTCATTACGACACACGATGAGATATCAGTGCTTACGGAGCACCCGCGCGAGTGAGACACCCGAAAGTTCAGTTCTCATCTTCGAGGCGCGCGCGAGCATAAATACCTACGGCGACCATGAGCGAGCCTCAGTCGAAGAAGACGAAGATCATGAGCTCGTTGAACCAGCTGAAGGACCTCACCACGGTGGTCGCCGACACCGGCGACTTTCAAGGTAAAACCCGTTGAAATTCGAATTCGATCTCGGTGGCGACGGCGGATAACCCCGAACCCGACGACGGTCACGTCGGCGGGAAGGGAGGGGGTCGGCAAAGCGACGGGGGGTCGGGGAAAGAGTGGAGGGGAGGGTCTTGCTACGCTTGCACTTTTTTTCAAGCGCGTCAAACCACGTGATCTCTTGTTCGAACCATGAATGATTACAAGGTTTTCGTTTTTTTCTTTCTTCTTTCAACTTGATTATTTTTGAAGATATACGAGAGATTTCTTCATCCGTTTTTTCTTGTACATATATATTTCGATATCATTTACGCGATATGAAATTATCGCGACTACTAAGAAGGGGTGATATAATAATTTTTATTTTCGAAATTATTAATTTTGAATATTTAAAAATTCTTCTTCCGAAAGAAAGAAACAGTCATAGAAACAATACACGATGGTGCTTATGTAAAATAGAAGATCACACGATCGTTACGAAAGAGTATAATCGATGTGCCGATCAATTATCTTAAAATATCGCTATTGTTGTGTTTTATTGTACGATTCGCCGAAATTGTTTTAATCCTCTTGTTCAACTCGAGCGTCATTCATTATCTTGGCATTTATACTATTAAAATATTAAAACTTGTCCCACTTTTAGGATATTTTTTTACAGTCCAACTTGTGCGTCATTATCTTTGCGCTATTATTGAATATTAAAAACAATATTAAATATTACTACTTTTAAATATTAAAACTTTCAGGATTTTTTTTTATCTTGTTGCCCAACTCGAGCGTCATTATTAAATATTGCTACTATTAAATATTAAAACTTGCGCGACTTTTAGAACACCTTATATATATACACATTTTTGTCAACGTGATTTTGATTAAAAGTAGCTCATTAATAATACACGCGTGCATATGCTGATGCGCTATCTTGAAACTAAAGGAGTTTTTCTCACGCCTGAGTTGTCCACGCTTCGTTGTAGTGACGATAACGCGGCGTATTGATTTGATTAACGCGCGATGACTTGATTAACGATAACGCATTCTTGCCTTCACCTTAACACGTAACACGCGAGCTTAATTTATTCCTTTCGAATTTGAGAAATTGTTATCGCGATTTCACGGCGGATATCCTCCGATAGATCGTGTTCGAAAAATCGAACGATGTTGGACAGATCTACGTATCTGTGCAACTGATAATAAGACACGGATATCAGTGCACATACGAAATATCGCGACCCCGGCTTGTTGACCTCTAAGAATAGAATATTTATCACTCCTATCCTTGATAGAGGCGTATCGAGCGAAAGCAATTGAACAAATTGTTTAATTGTCAAATAATAACGAATATATAAATGTGGAGTAATCGAAATAAAATAAAATGGAAATAATCACGAACATTGCAAATGATGAGCATTAATATTAACGTTCATTATATATTAACGGTATTATATTATTATTTTTCTTACAGCTATGGAGCAATTTAAGCCCACAGACGCAACGACGAATCCCTCGTTGATCCTCGCTGCCGCTAATCAAAAGAAGTACGCTCATTTAATTGAGAAGGCCGTGGAATGCGGCAAACAGTCCGGGTCGTAAGTATATTTATTATGACGTGATTAACTTATATTGTTAAATCTATTAGTCTTCTTGCGATGTTGTCAAGATTAAATAAGCACAATATTAAAAATTATACATGATAATTTAAATATTGTTTAACGTAGAGCTTCTATTTTTCAGTACTTTAGCCGAGCAAGTTGAAGCAGCCCTCGATATCACCTGTGTTTTCTTCGGCAAAGAGATCTTAAATATAATACCCGGGAGAGTTTCCACAGAAGTGGACGCCAGATTGTCCTTCAATAAGGAAGCCAGTATCGAGAAGGCGAAAAGATTGATCGCTCTGTACGAAGAGCTCGGAGTGAGCAAGGAACGCGTCTTGATTAAGCTTGCGTCGACCTGGGAAGGCATCCAAGCGGCGAAGTAAATAAGAAATTAAATTAAAATACGCATCCTATATTTAATTAATGAACATGCCCTCGTTAATCATCGATAAATTTTTTTTAGAGAATTGGAGGAAGAATATGGAATTCATTGCAATCTGACGCTGCTGTTCTCCTTTGGTCAGGCCGTTGCCTGCGCGGAAGCTGGAGTTACTCTCATTTCGCCGTTTGTTGGACGAATCCTCGACTGGTGAGTGTCACAATCTCATTTGTTTATAAATTTGTGCAAGAGTAAAGATAAGGAATTTTGTTTAGGTACGTGGCAAATACAGATAAAAAGTCTTATAAAGCAAAGGAGGACCCGGGCGTTGTTTCTGTAACGCAAATTTACAATTATTATAAGAAGTTTGATTACAAAACGGTCGTGATGGGTGCCTCGTTCAGAAACGTCGGTAAGTATCATGATTCATATATAATATTTTATAGTTTTATGATACAAATTATTATTTAAATATAGATTATAAAGTACGGGATAAAAATAAATATATATAAATAACATAAATATCATTATTCAGCTGACGTTGCTATTCTTTTGATTTAAATATTTTGATAATTAGGTGAAATTAGGGAACTCGCCGGCTGTGATTTCCTTACTATAAGTCCTAAGTTATTGGAAGAATTGGAGGAGAGCGACGAGCCCGTGCGCAAGGTACTGAGTGTGGAATCGGCGAAGAAGTGTGACCTTCAAAAGATTAGCTTGGACGAGGCCGAATTTAGATGGCTTTTAAACGAAGACCAAATGGCGACCGATAAGTTAAGCGAAGGCATTCGCAAATTCGCCATTGACGTGCGCAAGCTTGAGAAGCTGCTGCAGGAAAAGATTCAGGGTTAAACTGACGGGGCTAGAGTGACAGCAGAAACATGCTCGACGATGCATTTAGATATGTACAGCGACATAATATAATTTACAAGGGCATAATACATTGAATGTACAAATACATTCCTGTTATTCACATATCTGTAAAGTAATTATTTTTAATAATCACAACTTGTGTGTGAAAAATGTGAAGAAAAAGGGAATAAGTTGAAGGAACAAAGATTATATATTTTTAGAAGTGCAGGATTTATTTCGCAGAATGCGAATATAAATGTAAAATAAATACAAGAAATTCTCAAAAGAGAAAAAGTATATTTGTTAAAATTTGCGATCCCAAATTAATTGCTCTATATATATTTTTATATTGTTGATTTATAATATTTCTCATTTTTCATTATTTGAAGTGTATATTTATTAGCAAACACATCAATGCTCCTATATGATATACCTGATACGCGAATAATCTTATAATTATTCGATTATCTCGAGATACGCACGAATAGCAAAGCCGTATCTGTTCAAACACTCAAACTTGTATGACGTGCGCTTGAGTGGCCGCCATGTTTAGTGATCCCATGTCATTCGATTCAACTAAAAAAAGTGCAAGAAGAGTGCAAATGACGAGGCCGACGCCGACGAGGCGACGAAAATACAGATATCACATTGTACATGAACAAAGGCATGACATTTTACAAAGGTTCCAATTTAATAATCCGTAGAAAAAGGAGCTTTTATTTTCGGTAAACGTCATTTTTGTTATTTATGATATCGAGGAATTTCGTTTCTCGCGGTGCGGCGCTCTTAAAAGTGTAGATAAGTGCACCTCGCGCTAAGCGCCGCCCTCGGCGCGCCTCCGCCAATCACGTGGGTCGGTGCTATGGCAACAACCGGATTGGGCTCGCGCACATCACACGGCACTGGCGGCAGACCGGGCACCGGGCAGACGTCGTTCGGCCGTGCAGCGGGACGGATGTGCTCACCATCGTCGCCGCGAGTGCCGCGACTCGACGCAGTATTCCCGCGTCTCGCGAACCGTGTCGACCGTGCGAAATCTATTTTTCTCTCTCTCCCTTCGCGCGCGCGTTGCCGCGCGAATCAGTGAAACACGGAAGCGGTCCCGAGGACGACGCCGGAGCCCGACGGCGCGCGCGGCGTCTCGCGCCCGTGGAGAAATTTCATCCCCTTCGCGAGTCGGGTCGCGCTCCCGCGGCCCCCAGCATCGGCAGAGGTTAGTACTCGGCGCGACGACATTCAAATTGACCGGACCGCCGCGCGCCGTTGCGTGCGGGATCGCGGGCGCCTCGGCGGTCTTCTTTTCCCAGCCCGTCGATCACTCTCTCTCTTTCTCGACTGACTGCGCGGGATAATAGCGCGTTCACCCTTTATCCAACTGGCGTTATTTAATTTCAAACTGAAATAAAAATAAAAACCAAATTTATTCGCGCCGTCTTCGCAAAATGTCTTATTTTTATTAATAAAAAAAAAAAGAATGCGGCGTGTACGAATTTATTTCGTATGAATCGTGTCGCAATGCGCACTCCGAAATTTACGAAATTGATCCTTCGCCACCGAGGGATTAGGTAGCGCGATGATGATTAGAGTGACTCATTTGTCACGCGCCGCCACTTCCGGGTCTGATTCGTCAACGTGAATTTCTCGGCGGCGAGACACGCTCGGCTGCGCTCTCGGCGGGACGTAACACGTCTATTCATAAATATAACACGCGAGAAATTGCCTGGGAAAAGTCTCGGGAGATGGAATTGAAGATAAAAGGCTGAGAAGAGAGAATAGAAAACTCGCCCGGCGGAGAAGACCGTGCCCCGAGATATATTATACGGCGAAATTTTTAGCTCCATCATCGAGATCAACGTCCGTCTCCTCTCCTTAATACCATCTCGATTAAAGCCCCCCCCCCCTTCCCTCGTTCGCCGAGGCGAATTTCATCTGCGCGGATTACCTCTTTGGCGCTTTAGGGAAACTACTCGAGTCGAGAGCTCTTTTCTGGTGAATTATGAAAGAAACGCGGCTGAGATTGCGTGAGAGCGGCTGGCAAAATCCCATCGTTGGTTTGCCGCGCGAAAGGCCCGGCGTCGAGCCGATTTCTGTTTTTCAATTTTACTTCTCTTTTCAGTATTCAATACAACGATACACGTGTGATAACGCATACAGTCGAGCAATGATAATATCACGACAGAAAATACATTCCGGATTGGATGTATAAAATCTTTGCAATTTATTCTGTTTCCGCCGCGAAAAATTAAACACATGTTGACATTGCGCTTTTATACCGAGTAGCAGGAATTTATCGCATTTCGATTTCTGTGGTTTCCGACGTTTCGACAGCCAGTCGTAGTCGGAGAGACATTAAAGGCGTTCGTTTCCCCCCCGGCGGTTTTTCCGCGTCGCCATTTCGCCAGCGACTTCGAATCTCATTTATTCTTCGAGTTAACTTTAGTATCATTTCAGTGCTATGTCGCAAATTGAAATGGAATTATTGACTTCTGGGTAGCGTCGCGATATAGTATACGCAGGATTGTTACTGATATAAAATTTTTTTTGTTGGACGGGTTTTCCCCAATTGTCGTGAGCTTTCAACGATTCAATAATTGTAGCGCCTTTATATATGATGAGTATTAAAAAATATTTGTCACATTTTTTTACGATTTTGCAATAATTGTTAAATTTACTGTCGGACGAACATTACACGTCGCTCTATTTACTTAACGATTTTAATTACCTCGCTCGGCCTTAATACCCGAGAGTGCATTATCATATTAAATAGATCACCGGCAAATTTTATATACGCGATATTCTTCGTTACCTGCGCACTCTTTTGGAGCTAAATAATACGTAAAAGCTATCGTTCTCGCGAGGACCCGACGATAAATGACGATTAATAGCTTCGTGAATCACCGCTGGGAGATGTCACGGTAAATTATCTAGTGGAACGCGATAATGTGTAGCGATAAAAGTTACGGAATCACGATTATCCGTATATATATATGTGTGGAGAGCGACTCTACGCTTGTAGAGAGAACCGCGCCGCGCGTCGATCAGAAATGCAATCGGCATGCAATTTGCAGGTCAAAGCGTTATTGGGAAATAATCTGACTGCAGATCATCGGGTGGATATATGCATAAATGCTATGTGTCATTAGCCGTTTTCTACACTCGAGGAATTCAGTCAGATATGGAAAAACTTTCGACATCGCGAAAACACGCAGGTGATTCGATCAATTTGTTGAGCTACGAATCAACCGATGTCGAATTACAAATCGGCATACATATTAGCGAGAAACGTTAGCGCGAACGTTAACGCGATAAATTTTATATAGCGGCATTTATGTATATTCGGAAGTGGACTGAAGGGACTCGATCTTTGAGAGTCCATTCCGATCTATTCTCTAAAGGGAGTAGAACGAAGTGGATGGCGTCCGGCGGTTTTCTTGGCGGGCGAGTTCTCTCTTCTTTGCTGATTACCGCAAATTCGCCTAGTGCCGTTTACGTTATCGTGGAAACGTAATGACAACGAACGGAAGATTAGATTGCAGAAAGCCGGCGGGACGCGGTGGGTAATCCGACGTTGCGGAAGAGAAACGTATGCGTTGCGCAACGGCGGCGAGAAACCGCCTTAATTGCGCCGCTTGTTCGTCGCGATTTAATGTTGCGCCATTAATTGGAGCGCGCGGTCGGGTGCAACGGCTAAAACTACCTGCCTTTCGTTCGCTAACACTTCGCTAATATCGATTAAGCAAGTTCGACTCCGATTGTTCATCATTTTTCCGCAGCTGGAACTCGAATAGAAGATATAAAGAGTCGAATAATTGAAATCATTAATCGACAATATGCTGCGAAGTAATAAGTGAAACAGAACCGATGTGAAATCTTACAATTAATTAGAGAAGGTGCTATTTTCGGTCGGTTTGGACTTTGATGGCCTAATTAATTAGAGAAGATGCAATTTTCGGCCGGGTTGGATCTCGATAGCTTAACAATAATATTTCTATATGAATTTTAAGACCGACGAATAATCTGCGCGCAGTTTACTGAGGTGGAAAAAGTATACAAACTTCAATTATTAAGGCTATCAAGATCCAGCCCGACCGAAATATATATATCTTCTCTAATTAATTGTATAATGTTGAAAGTGTTCGTTAGATGAGGGTGTGTCTTACACGCGTTCCCTCTTTCTCTCTCTCTCTCTTTCTCTTTGTACAAAGCGTTATATTTGAGAATCTTGATAATAATGAAAAAAAAGAGAACACTTGTTAGTTGACTATAGTTAGCGCTGACCGAGACCGAGGAAATCGATTCTTAGGCCTGGCTGCAGCCGCGTCACTTGGTTTTATTCTTTTTTTTCTTCTGTGTTTTATGTTATACGCGAGTCGTCAAGTCGCAAAACGTTTTACTTAAACTGCAATCAGCAGTTTTGAATTGCAATCTAGTTTTAGCGTTGTATCGCATTTAGATAGTCAAAATCAACGATACTTTTGTTCAGTTGAGTAACGAAGACACCGTGCCGGTTTCGTATTGAAAGAAAAAACTTATTATTATGACAAATAATAGTTTTTATTTTTATAATTAATTCTAATTTTAACTTTTATAATAACAGTTTATAAACGAAAATGTAGAACAATATTGATACCGTCGAAGATCTCAGTTGCGAGTGTGAATTAATATTCGGTATTTTTTTTTTTCCAAAACTATCGATATATAAAACCGTGGTGTACGCCAATATAGCACAATAATTTATATTCAAGATAAACGCCTGAAAAAAAGGAGCTCCGGACGGCGCAGCGCGGTGGTCTCGCGAACAAAATCGATGGTCGTTACAGCATGAAATCTGTTCACGGTGCATGAATTTCATTAGTGCGGACACGTGCACGTGTTATCGGCGAAATATTGAGAACGTGGAATGCGCAAAATGTTTCGGAGTTGTTTATATCTATACAAAGATAAATAATTTGAAACAAAGCGTACGTAGAGAGACACATTGCATATCTTTCGGAATTTGTTTAATGAATTGTTGCTGCACAGAACTCATATGAATTATTGCTGTTAGAACTTGGGGTATTATTTTAAAACAACATTGATAATAATTTAATACATACGTTGACTTATTAATTGAATCTGAAAGTAAAAGAATGAAGACTTGTAATTTATAGATACACTGAGAAAAAATCCCAAAAAATATTTATTAGTTATTAAATATTAAATTATTTAATTAAATAAAAATATCTAATTCTAAAAAAATATGTGTAAAAAGTAAGTAAATAATGCTATTAGGAGCCACCTAATAAATATTTTTTTCTCAGTGTATAACAGATTTAAATGTATGATACTTTAATTCAATTCGAATATATTTTTCGAGAACGATTTTTTGCTGCGCCATTATTCATCCCAATTAAATCTCCAATATCGAATATCTTGCTAATTAAATAAAAATTCTGAAAAAGTAAAGTACATTTTACATAATTTAAATGTACAACGAAATTAAATCGTATTTTCGTATTTAATTCGCGAAAGAGAACCTAATATTACTCCCAAGCTATCGCTACACTCGTAACTCGTATAACTCAATATTCTCGCGTACAACGCGTACAACCTCGCAGTTAATAAGAGAAAAACTTGTGCAATTAACGGGATTTTCGCGACACGTTAAATCTAAAACGCGACGTATATACACGTTCGGGGCGAGCGAGCGCTCTTCGAGTGCGCACGGGCGCGCGCCGTAAATAGAAGAAGCTAACGAGTGATCGCCACGATGAATGAGGTTGTTGTTAGCGCATTGCCCGCGCCCGCTTCCAATTACGGCGCGGAGGAACGCGATGCACCGGTTTTTCATAATACCACGCGGCTACATGTGCGCGTACGCGAACGCACGCGTGTCGACGGCTGCGTTTCCCTCGCGACCGTGCTAAACGGCCGTATGTAGACTCCGCGAGACACGCACGTGTGGCGAATCGCCACGGCCCGATGCGAACGCAAATTTTGCGCCTTCCGAGTGTGTCTCTCTCTCGCGTTTCTGCTTTTTTTTCGCGGAATAAACGGGTTAAGAACACAGAGAGAGCCGCCGAAGAAAGAAGATTGTCGCGATTCGTCGCGAATAATCTTCAACAGGCGTGATTATCGCGAGTACATTCACATGACAAGTTCGTGAATGTTTATCCTGTAGTTTTGCGAACGTTTTTGCGGTTTTTATTCGTCATACATGATCCCGCTGTATGT